GCCTTCCAAAAATGATGCTTTCGAGCTGCTGACTGGAGCGCACGACATAAGAGGAGCCCTCCCTTACCGGACTTTTAATGAGGCCGTAAACTGTCTTCATTGTCGGTGACTGTTTTTTGGCTTCTTAGATAAGACGGCAGGAGCTCCGTCTATGAGGACTTGGCTTTGGAGTCAAATAATTGCCGTAGACGCCAGGGCATTTTTTTAGCGCTTGATCTATTTATCACGGAGTTCCTTTTTATGTATATATTTATTTTTCAATTTTCCCAGCCTACATGAGCGCTCCCATCTTTTAAATGTTTACATGTTGAACCGCATAGGACTAAAAACCTGTACGCTGACGCGATGTCACCATCACGAACGAAGCGATATCGTCAACGTCTTAACAACGGAACCGCTGACGTCGATTGCAATTGCGCAGACGCCGATTGACTTCTCATCGGAAATGATGTCAAGTAAGTTCATAGGCTCAAACTTTTCAACAACAGAAAATATTTATTGGCTGTACAGGCAATGTTTGCATGAACAGTCTCATTTTTGTGGTTGTTTACTGATTAGGGTAATAGACAGAACATCAGTCAAAATATGCGTTAATGTGGGGTGAAATAAATATTTGATCTCGGAACAACTCAGCCAAAATTTAGGCTGCACGAGTGTGACACGTAAGAACGTGTACAGCCGCGTCTTAATGTTTGTCAGCGAATATCAAGTCAAAAATGCAAACATAGCCACCAAGAATTGGGGTAGAATGCGCTCGTCTCCCAAGTGCCCATTTCACTGATCTGTGATCTCCCTGGCCAACTTTGAATCATCCGCACCGTGGAGATCTCCTTCCAGTTCGTTTTGAACACACGCACACATCGCCAAACGGTTTTATTTTCTGCGCCAAGCTTCGTGCCTCTGTGAAAATACCCGAACCCGGTCTAGCACACCCCTGCGCAGCTGTACGTCGCGCCTCGCGCCAGTCCTGCACTCCTCGTGAAAATTGAGCCCATTACATTCAATATCTAATTGAAATGTCACTAAGTGGTTCAAATTCAGCACAGGATGAAAATAATTATTTCCCTCAGTCTACAAAACGTGGAAGCTGAGCAAAAATAATCCACAAGCTGCTGACACTCTGTTTGGTGTGTGTGGCTTAGCCGGCCAAATAAAAGTCACAAGACGTCTTGGGTCAAAATGTGAACAGTCTTTATAGAAAAGTAGAAAAATAGAACACAGTACAAATTTACAGAAGAACAGACATGAAATGGGCCTTCTGCCCAAACTAGTCTTAAAAAACTAAGCCAGTTGACTTTTACTAATGCCGGCAGTGCTCAGTGGTCGTGTTGGGGAGCGGATACGCGAAGAGGGAGAAGTCTAGAATGTACTTGGGCAGGAGCTCCCTCAGGAGCTTCTGCGGCAGGCTGCACAGGTAGTAGTGCAACGTCTCCGCCGTGACGGGTTTGTACCACGACTGCCTCGCCGGGAAGCCGACGTGCGGCGGCACGCCGACGCTGCGCAGCACGAACTCGGCGTCCCGCTCCAGGTGCTCGTAGGATCCGATGAAGTCGTAGCGCAGCGCGCACGGCTGGCACAGGTTGTACATGGGCATCCAGTGCTCGTTCATCCGCTCCACGTCCTCGTCCAGAAGGTAGCGGACGAACTCCGCGAACGTGACGTCGTCGCCGGCGACGCGCGAGCCCTTGCCGCCGCGGCTCTTGCGGTAGCGCTTGACGATCTCGGCGCCGTACTTGCGCTGGTACGACTCGATCTCGCCGAACTTGTTCCTGTAGGCGGAGAGCAGGCGCTCCATGGGCTCACGCACGAACATGAACTTGAAGTAGTGCTGCAGCCGGTAGCGGATCCCCTCCGGCTTGAGCGAGGACAGAAAAGTCAAGTCGCTGCGATGGTCCATCTTGATCTTGACGTCCACGCTCTCCAAGGCGCCGCCCAGCACCTTCAGCACGCGTTTCCAATTGGAGCAGGCCACCTTGGGCACGTAGCAGTACAGGAAGCGGTACTCGTCGTTGACCAGCACGTGCTGCAGCAGCGTCTTCCTCTGCTGCGGCGTCAGCGACCACAGGCTGCGCGGCATGTTCTTCTGGCTGCACATGGACGTCATGGTCCGGTTTCGGATGTCCTGGAGGATCTGAACAACACGGATCTCGGGTGAGCATTTTTGACTTCCATGTTACTTATTCCAAGCAGTCTATTTTCTTTCCATGCCAGCCATTAGAAGAAAAAAAATTTGAGTGCCAACCAATTTAAAGCATTCTGACAGATCTTCGTTAACATTGAAACTACAAACTCATCACAAAAAAAAAAA